TCCCACGTTATGCATCATTTATTTTTTATTTTTATTTTTTAAGATTTTATTTATTTGAGAGAGAGAGATAGCAAGAGAGAGCACGGGCAGCAGGGAGAGGGAGAAGCAGGCTCCCTGCTCAGCAGGGAGCCCGATGTGGGGCTCCATCCCAGGACCCTGGGATCATGACCTGAGCCGAAGGCAGATGCTTAACAACTGAGCCACCCAGGTGCCCCATCTATATTTATTTTTAATATATCTGTTTTATGGTATGTTCCATCTTAGGAAGTCATCTGTTTCTTTTCACAAATAGATGGGGTGTCAACCATTGTAAAAAGAAATGCGAGAGGTCAAGGGCATGTCCAGTACATTATCCTTGTGTCCCACCATACCTGTGAGAGTACATTGCATGGGAAAATGCTCATTAAAAGTATGTTGAATACATTATGTAATTCCTAATACTTATTATGTCAGAGGCTCTCCCAAGGGAAAGTTTTGTAGGGACACTGATTGACAACGGATGTGGATCTTTTTTATTTTCTATCTCCCGTGGCACCTGTCTGGTAACGTTAGTGCAGGTGCTAAGGTGTCTGCTTTCGTATCTTTTTGGTGCCTGGACCCTGCTAAGCGTCTCGCTGGATGGACAGCCGCAGAGGGCATCTACCCAGTGACTCACGGGGAGTTGTTGCTCCTCCGAGAGGAAATCAGTGTCATAAGTCTGGTACTCTGTGTTTCCAGTGGTGGCATTGTCCTTGGTAGCCCATCTCTCCCAGGTTTGGCACCCCCCAGAGTCTCTGCCTGGTGCCTTAGGAACTTACCCTACTTTCTTGAAATCAGAGGTTCATCTTTACCTTGTGACTCAGTGAGGACAGCCATTCAGAGCTGGGAATGGCTCCCTAGGGATATCTGGCTGCAGCCGAAACTGCCCATCTCTCATCCTTCCTAACAAGGGCCACATGATTTACATTTCAAAATGTTCCAGTAGGACCGTGCTCAGCATGGCTAATGAAGGATTTCAGCATTTGGCAAAGAAACGGCAGGGTTAGTTAAAACTGAACTGTTTCGTTGAGGAGTGATGGTCTTTTAACGAGCTCCCAAGGAACCCATGGAAGGGTCTGCAGAATAAAGCAAGAGGGCTTCCACGAGTCAGAAGCCATAAACAAGGACCCCTAGTGGTGGAGACACAACACCTGTTTTCATTGTTATGGGCCCTTCTTTGTTCTTTCCCTTGCTGTGTGCTAAGGATATAGGAATTTTGATGGTAAGAAAACAGATTAGATCATGTTCTGCTGGTTCTCAAACAGCTTTACTAGATCACATCCCCAAAGTGAGGAGTTTAAATTTTTGGTTTGGTTTTTAGGAGCCTACAGGATCTGCTTGCAACCTTCCTTTTTAATTACTTGCTCCCTGTCCTCTGTCATCACATGTCCTGGGCTTGGACTATACCAGCCAGCTCTTGGTAGCTTTCCACTTTCGCTCATCCTGTTCCCTCTGCATGAACAGTCTTTCCTGTTCCCATCTATCCACTCCACCCTCCGTTCTGTTTACAGAACTCAAATTCCTTCCCTAGTGAGGAAAATAAACCACACCTCCCTACACCGGTGGTACTTTGCTTACCCTAATTTCCCTGGGTCTGGATAATAGCTAACCGTCCATTTCTGCTTCTCCCCAAGATCCTAAGCAGCCAGAGGGCAGAGGCTGCTGGTATATGGTTGCATCTTCTAGTGCCCAGCCAGAGCCCCGGATGCAGGAGACTCTCATAATCATGGGTTGTGGAGTGGCATGTTCTTGTTCTTTTAATTTTTTTTTTAAAGATTTTATTAATTTATTTGAAAGAGAGAAGAGAGCATGAAAGAGAGAGAGATTGAGAGCGAGAGCAGGAGCAGGGGGGGAGGGGCAGAGGGAGAAGCAGGGAGCCCGATATAGGGCTCCATCCTAGGACCCCGGGATCATGACCTGAGCCGAAGGCAGACACTTAACCGACTGAGCCACCCAGGCACGCCTCTTCTTGTTCTTTTTATTTTTAAAATTATTTTTAAAGATTTTATTTGTCAGAGAGAGAGAGAGAGCACAAGCAGGGGGAGCGGCAGGCAGAGGGAGGACCCTGGGATCATGACCTGAGCTGAAGGCAGACACCTGACTGAGCCACCAAGGCATCCCTCTTCTTATTCTTTTAAAATCAAGTTTTATTAATTCTAAATATGCCATACATTCTCACTAAAAAGTATAAAAGAGTGAAAAGTCACTCCGTTCTCTAGCCACCAGATTCCCTTCTATGCGAATAACCAATATTATCAGCTTTTTATGAATCCTTCTAGACATATATAAACATATGTATTTTTCTTCCTCCTTTTTAAAAATAAATGGGATCATACTTAAACAGTTTTGCACTTTGCCTTTTCACTTTACTATGCTCATAGACACATATTTTTAAAACTTATTTAACCAATTAACTTTGATAATGTTTCAGTTGTTTTCATTCTTTTGCTATTAAAAACAATGCTGCAATGAATAATCTTGTATATTTGCCATGTTCAGATGTAATTTATGTAGGAAGAATTTCTGGAGGTGGAATTGCTAGGCCAATAGATATGGGTACTTTTAATCTTGATTATCATTGCCTAATTGTTCTCTATAAAGAATGTCTGGTTTCACACCCATCAGCAATATATGGGAGATGGGAGTCTGTCCATGCACCGTTGCCAACACGATGTGTTATTAACTTTCAGACAAGTTCCATTAAAAAAAAAAATTAGATTTAATTTTAAGTGTGTGTGTGTGTGTGTAACAAATTCATGATCACCTCTTGGGTTGAAAATCATCCAAAGTATCTGGGGGTGTTAACAATCTGGAGATTCTGACCCCAGGTTCACAGAAAAGTAAAGAGGTTTTACTTTTGTGAAGCAATTTACAGATTTTAGATGTATTTTACGTGCATTGATTTTGACCAATGGGTACATTCATACACTTCCAAGAATTTAAAGCATAACCGGGAGGAGCCAACTTGATGAACACTTTGATGTTTCGGGTAAGATTTTGGGTATCTACTGATTATTTCAGTAAGATTACTAAAGAGGTCAAAAGATAGTGTGAAATCTGCTCCATAGTCGTGTTATGAGGATTAAATAGGATGTCTGCAAAACTTTCGTCACAATACCTGATACATAATAGGCACTCAATAAAGTAGCGGTAGTTATTACCTAATAAACAATAGGCTGTTTATATGCGTTGATGACAGATTAAGGGGCTATTTAGGTGATAAAATCTGCCCTTTTGGCAGTAAGGGCTCTGGCGCCCGATAAATTCCTCTCTAGCACTCATGAGCAGTGTGACTTTGAGCACATCCCCTAACCTCCCCGGCCTCAGTTTTCACATCTGGAAAGTGGAAGAATAAAAGCCAAGGCTCAAGGTTTGCCCTGAGCTTAAATGTGCAATACTCCGAAGTGCTTGCTACACACTAGTTCTCTTCTTTCCTCCCAATCTACTGATTGGAGCCATCAAGAACCCATAGAAAAACCCGATAACCCCAGGAAACCAGAGGGATCGAGACCAGGGCGACACGAGCGTGTTCATCACCGCCGGGGGGCCGCGCGTCCAAGGGCAAAGGGTCACAAGCGACGCGCGATCTATGACTTTCCCCTCCCCAGCCCACCCCACCCCTCCGCTCCCCTTCCCTTCCCCTCGGCGAGGAAGACCCCGCCCCTGTGGAGGCGGTCGCCCCCGGGCGATCACCCCGGCAACGCCGTCTTCCGGTCCGCTCGGCCCCGCCCACTTCCGGCCCCGGCGCGGCGCGTTTGCGCGAGGCGACCAGGAGCTGGCCTCCGAAAGGGCGGCGTGGGGGTGTGGTCCCGGGCGGAGGGCGGAGGGCGGAGGGCGGCGGAGCGCGGGGGACGCGCGGCCTGACTTCGGCGTCGCTGCCGGCACTCAGGGCTCCGCGCAGCCATGGAGAGCGGAGGGCGGCCCTCGCTGGGCCAGTTCATCCTCCTGGGCACCAGCTCGGTCGTCACCGCCGTCCTGTATTCCGTGTACCGGCAGAAGGCCCAGGTCGCCCAAGAGCTCAAGGTCAGTGCTGGAGCCAGCCTGGCCTCAGTCGGCTCACCCCTGCCCCCGGTAATGGTGAGCCCGCGGTTCGCCTCGGGCTGCTCCAGCGTCGGAAACTGCCCCAAAGAGGAAACCGGCCCTTGAGGGATGTCGCCCCCGAGTCACGGGAGGAACTAGGATCAGAATTCGGGTCTCGTGATAACCGCTGCACTTCCCCTTTTCTCCTTAGCCGCTCTCATTACTCAGAATCTCGACCTGATTCCTTTATTCGACAAATACTAAGGGCCGCCTGCTCTGCTCCAGGCACTGGGGCTGTCGCATGGGTAGAAGAGACAAAAGTCCCTGCCCTCATGGAGATTCCGTTCTGGTACAGGCAACCAGGCAATAAACACGTACCTCAGATGGTATGACAGATGGGGAGAAAAATACTACGGAATCATGCGGGGAAGAGAGGAAATGCAGTGGTGTGCTATTTTAAATAAGGTGACATTTAACAGAGCCCAGGAGGAGGTGAGGGAGACCGCGCAGGTGTCTAGGGGAAGAACAGTTCAGATGGAGGGAACAGCCAGTGCAGGAACCCTAGACTTTGCCCATTTTTGTAACCACTCACTTCTTGCTTCTACAGACTCTTCCTTTTTAATATTTTAGTTATTTTAAAAATAACGCTTGGGGCGCCTGGGTGGCTCAGTCGTTAAGCGTCTGCCTTCTGCTCAGGTCATGATCCCAGGGTCTTGGGATCCAGCCCCGCATCGGGCTCCCTGCTCAGCAGGGAGCCTGCTTCTC